GTGTCTTCTGCGTAGTCATCTTTCTAAATGCTGATCACTGATTTGGCATCTTGTTTTTCTGGTTTAAAGAGCTTGGTTCTGGAAGTAAAACTGGCTCCTCAAATACTGTGGGTGGGCTGAAAAAGGCTGACTTGGTGGAGGTTGTTAAGGAGCAGCTAGCTACATGGAAAATAGTGATGAGGCAGAGAGCTTTGGTAGTAGAATGCAGAAATCTAAGAGGGAATTTCACTTCTGCGATATCACAGTGGTTTGGACCAGACTGGGACATATAATAGGACATAGCTTTGTGCTTTTAAAGTGTTTGAAAATTGAACTTGCATTGCTCATTGGAGTTTATCTTATATTCAACCCAGTGTGGTAAATCAAGCAGTAATGTTCTTTTGCACTTTGTCAAGGCAATTTCTGCTATCATCACTCCTTTAGGGCCAGTTCAGAGTTTTCCTGGCTCCTCCATTTGAACAGTTGTACTCACGATTCACTGCAGCTTACGTCAACAAATATCGATTTAGTGCTCACTGTGTGCCATAGATGGTTAGGTATGGGAGATGCAGCTATGAAAGGATGGACAAGTTGCAGAGATGAAATTGATAAAACTCTTTTGGAGTGAGGGTGTGTGAGGATGGTCAGGGAAGGCTTCTAGGAAGACCTAATCCTCTTATCTAGGGTTTAATGGACGAATAGTAGCTCTGTGTGTCATCACAAGGGCAAGGGGAGCATGTGAACCCAGTGCCAAGGTGTGCTAGACTTAAAGCATTGTGGGCATTTAAAGTGTGTGTACGTGTGGATCGGGCAGTGTCTTGTTCTGTTGTGCATAAGGTCGCTATGGGTTGGTACCGACTCCATGGCACCTAACCACAGCAACACCATGTGTATTGGGGAAGAGGAGAGGCCCGAAGGAGGCAGAAACCATGGTCATGGAAGGTTTCAAATGTCCCCTTTGATACTTGGCATATAGAACTTTCTGTGAGCAACAGGGTCATATCTGAGGCAGAGACCCACCCTTCTGTGCTTGTTAGTTCTGCAGCCCTGAACAGGAAGCCTCACCCTATTCATGGGCACTCTAGGATAAGCATGAGACTGCTAACCACAAGGTTGGCAGTTCAAACCCACCACCCATTCCTCGGAAACCCTATACAAGGTCACTGTGAGTCTCCTAACTGACTCAACAGCACTTAACAACATGAGGATAACTTGCTCTGCCCTCTGCTGCTGCCAAGTGGATTCCAACTCTAGCTACCATAGGACAGAGTAGAATTAGGGCTTCTAAGGTTGTATATCATTACGGGAGTAGAATTAGATGACATAAAATATTATGCTTGGCACTTGGTAGATGTTCAACAAAATGCTCATATTTTTTCTGACTCCATACTATAGTGTAAGTTCTTTGAGGACAGGTCTCAAAGGACCTTTGCTTTGATTTTAAATGTAAGAGAATAGATAGTGAAGATGCTGAAATAATGGGATGTCTCAGGACATTATTATGGCTTATGGAAAAATGTGATATATTGTAAATGTTTTGTAGGTCACATGGTTACTATAAGAATTATGGCATTTATCTTCTGTCTTATATACAAATTTTGGGTGTTGGACCAATATGTAGGCAACTTGAACAAAATATTAAAAAACATTGATATCATTGGGTTTACTTTTTTGTTTGTTAAAGGCCGGTTTTCCTTATTCCTTCCCCCAGTTTCATTGCCTTGAATTTATGTGAGGATTTGAATAATCTTCTCTTGCCACTTTGGGTAGTTGCTGTCATAATTTAAACTCCCACTCCATTTTCTAAATAGCAGACACACATCCAGATTTACCTGGAAACCTGTTGATATAAAGTCAATATTCTCCATTTCCTAGCACTTCTGTGTATTTCTGAAAAGGGGATGACAAAGGCCTCCTTTCTTATCAAGCTAAGAACAGGAGCTAATTTGCAAGTAATTTAGGAATTGTTTTTAATGTTTCTCTTTTCTAGTTTATTTTGGGGCCCACTTATCTTTGATTTCATGGGAAACAGTTTAGGAAACTCCTGCACCTTGGGAAATTTTTTAGGGGTGTGTGTTGGAGGACATGGTGTAAAAAAGGAGAGACTAGCAATAGCTCTCATGCCCTTTCTGTGTTTATTTACCCTACACCTTGCAATGCTTAAAAAAAAAATTTTGCCTGTTTCTGGTAAGAGGGAGATCCCCATACGCTATTGTTGTTGTTAAGTGCCATCGAGTCAGTACTGACTCATAGTGACCTTATGCACAGCAGAATGAAACACTGCCCAATCCTGGGCCAACCTCACTACTGTTGGTCATGCTTGAGTCAATCGATGCTGCCACTTGGCCAATCCATCTCCTTGGGGGTCTTCCTCTTTTTCTCTGACCATCCACTTTACCAAACATGATATCCTTCTCCAGCGACTGATCCCTTCTGACAATATGTAGTCCCTTTTTTTAAGCCCTCATTTGTTCTAAGAGTCTGGGTTTAGTATGTAATTTCCACTTACAGAAAATATCAGCAGTATTGTTTCTAAGTAGGAAAATCTTTGATAAAGGAAGAATTATTATATTGAGGAAAAAAAAAATTTATTTCTTAAAATACTGGTTAAAGAGGAGCTGAAGGGAGTATCTGTATCTATGGTGGCTCCATATGCTAAGCACTGGTTTGAGCCCGCCAGCTGGTCTGTGGGAGGAAGATGAGGCTTTCTGCTTCCTGGAAGATTTAAAGCTTGGAAACCTTACATAGGGATTCTTTGAGTCAGAACCTACCTACTTGATGGCACTTAACAACAACAAGAAAAAGAAAAGAACAAAAACAATATATTTATTATGAAAGGCCTAAGAAAAACAAACAGAGCCCAGGAATAAAAAATAGGACCAATAATTTTTAAGAAAAAAATGCTTTTAGGGTAAGCTTGGTTTTTCTTTTTAACAGTAATTCTTATGTATTATTCCACAAAGTTGTTATCTTATATGTAAATGCCTGCCCTTCCCCTGTCCTTTTTAATGTTTATTTCCGGCCTCTGTTTTTTTTTTACCCTTGGGCAGAGATATTCTTGGACCAGGTTGGAAGAGGCACTCCTGCTGTTGGGTTCTCTGCGGGAGTATCTTGTATTTAGAAGATTTCTTTTCCCTGCGATTTCCTCATTTGCAATTTTCTTGTGCCTTCCTGACAGCTGTCCTTTGTTTTCCAAACAAAATCAGTTCATTTTTATTATTAAGTCTGAGACTGGTTCTCACCAATACCTTAAAATGGAAACTTGGCTTACTTTTGCCCTTGACTCTGAATCTCAAAGTAAATGCATGACTCACAGAAATATAGCTGGAATTTATCTCTTTCTCCAGATTTCCAAGGATATTTTTACTTCGAAAATCAGAGGTTTGGTTTTGGTGAATTTACTCTTGCTGTTTTATCTGAGTGCATTGACTTTATATCTGTTCAATATCTATTGCCTTTCCAAAGGGTTTTTGTTTTGTATTTTAATATCTTTAAATTCCTATTTTAGTTTTTTAAAAATATATAAAGAGAAAAAAGTAGAAGAGGGGAAATGGGGTTGGTTGCCTTTTGCTCCCAAAGCCTAAATGAATAGTCATTGCTTGTAATGCTGGTTTACACTTGACACTTCCTACTGCTTTAGATGTGATGTATCCGGTACTGTGAAGGTGTAATGATCCTCAACCACAGCAATATCCCGTAACAGGAGTATCTGTCATATTCATCGGGATTACCATGTTCATTGATTTGTGTCTGTAAATCTGCTGTTTCTACCCTTTAAATTTGATCTGTAATTGGACCTCCTTAAATGGTTCAGATAAGGTAGTCTGTATTTTCTCAATGCAGCATTGCTGTCAGCTTCCCCTTTTTCATTATACATTCAGCCAACTTGAGAAAATCAGCAGGACACCTCATTTGAAACTGTTTAATCGCTGCCTTTTTCCTTTGCTAAACCATTGAGGTGGTCAAGCGATGTACACAAATCATTTTAAATAGAAAATATGGTTTTCTCTGTGACCCAGCTAAATAGATAGTGTTATGCAAAACAAGTTAAAAAGTAATAAATGCCAAAAAAATCTTCTAATTGGAGTAAAAAATTGTGAACAACTCTGTCCTCTCTCCAAAAGTAGAATATCCTGAAATATTGCCAGAACCCTGTAAAGACAAGATGATGGTTTTCTAAAGATTCTCTGGTTTCTGAACAAAGCAACTTTACATTTTCAAATAGTGCTGAGCAGCCTTTTATATCCATTTAGAGGGAGCCCACACTTATTTGTAATGCCTTTGCATCCTGCCTTTGTCAGGACAAATTTGCTATCTTTAATATCTATGCAGCATAACCTTTCAGCCATTTGCTATTGTGATAATAAATTTTTGTCTTTGTCTGTCATTTTGTCTACTCAGCTGTTACTCTTCAAAGTACAAACTAAAAATAATAGCTCCAAATAAATGCCACATAATAAAGTGTTTTACAGTTGTAGCTGGAATATACTGGTGGCTGCAGCTCACTGTCCTATTACCATTGCTAGTGCAGTAGTTTCTTTCCTCTATGTCAGGGTGACTGTACTGGGACCAGCTCATTAAAGCAATCTATTCTTTCTAACTTGTTTGGTATTTAACTCTCTACCTAGCAGCCTGCCAAGGCACAGTTGTGAAGCATAAGACTCAAAGCATAAGGATATATGAAATTATGTGGCATTCACTTTTCAGGAGGGAAAATTTACAAATTTTCCATAACCTGATTTTCATGCTTCAGCATTTTGCTGTGAATAATTTGCAATTATTCCTGTTAGAAGTAGAAGTAGGGCCATGTGCTGGTTTACCTGAGATAGTGGTAAGTGTGACTCCAGGCTTTTGTGGAGCACTGTTGACCTGGTTTGTATTGTCCTGCAGGATTAATATTTACAGTGTACATGAATGTGACACCAGGAGTGTTTTTGCCATTTTTGCTGCCCCGAGGTAAACTTGATACCAAGAAGCTGGGAGTTGATAATACATACTAAAAGTGCATCTTTTTCTTACAGGTTCTGGTTCCTTGGCAGCAATGGCTGTATTTGAAGATAAATTTAGGCCAGATATGGAGGTATGTAAAGTCCTTGCAGTTTTATTGTCCTTCACATTTTTCCAAATTGATTGCGGATTCCTCCAGAGTTTGTACAGTATTGTTAGTTGGAATGCTTTGTGGTGCAGATATTATGTTTGCTGAGAAGACTCTAGTTAGTTGTTTTTTGAAACCCTGCCTGCGGCCTCCGTCAAGCTTGGGGAACCAGTACTATACAACTTTCAGCTCTGAACTAAGAATCTTCTTGTCTGTAAATGCTGCTGCAATGTGGACTGTTTTTTTGTATACTAAGCTCTGTCAAGATACCTCAAAATGACAGGTGTTTCTGCTCTCACGCTAAGAATAGAGAAACTATGTATGTCTTTGTCACACACAGACCTTACCTGAAAATGGGAGCAGTTATTTATACAGGTCCATGTCGTTTAACGTCCGTGATATGTTCTGTGAAATAGGATGTTATGTGATTTGGATGTTGTGTTTACATCATATTACAGCCTCAAGGGAGCTTGCTTCTAGTTGTTTTTGTTGTTACTGCTACTATTGGGGCTGCTGGCAGAAGGGGAGTGAGAGGAAGAGAGTGAGGAGGTTGCGTAGCAAGTCTAACCTGACTGCTCTTTGGCCTGCTGCCCGCCAGTTGTGAGAGCCAGCTCCCAGAGCCATGTCCTCTGCTTTATCAGCCTGTATCTCTGTGCTGTAGTGCAACAAGAATCTGGATATGGAGACATTAAAATCATTTGGGGGGGGGTGGAGAGGGAGTTAAACAAAAGGAAAGCTGCTTTTCTCTTTAAAAAACAGAACATTATTGAACCATGGACTTATATCTTGTTGGATGTTGCTAACACTTGCTGTGCATTTGCCAGAAGATGGGGACAAGATCTTTTGTGGGTTAGATCTTCTCGATGTGTGATGGATCTAGTGTAATGATCATATTTCTAAGAGATTGTTTTATGATACAGGTTGTCCCTGACATAAGAATGGGTTCTGTTCTACTGAACCAACATAAGTCAGTTCTAACATTAAGTTGAATACCACTTTTTTTTCATGTTTTATTGTGAATTATATGATAAAATACTACTTTTTTTTAAAAGTTCTCATAGCTACTGTGTTTTTGAGCAGTCAGTAAATCATAACATTGGACATCTGTAAGTGTACATCTAGGAATGATACCATCAGCAAATTATATATTGCCAAGTTCTGGTGTGGCGCTGTAGGATAAGCACAGGACTGCTAACTGTAGGGTCAGTGGTTCACACACACCAGCCACTCCTCAGAGACCCTGTATAGGATCATTATGAGTTGCAATCTGATTCAGTGGCACTTAACAACAGCAACACTGTATGTAGTACATATTACTGATAATAAAATATAGGTGGGAAAAGATGGTGGTAAGTGTGGTTTGTCATAACCAGGATACTCCCAAGTCAGGGACTACCTGTCTTCTTTTCTTTGGTATCAGTGGAGGTGATATCTTCTGAATGACATTCCATGTAAATCTGCTTTAATTATAGGTGTGTCCCCATTAAGCAACCCCTCCAAAATATTTTGAGAGCAAATCTGTAGGTCTTCTATTCTTAACTTTAAAGGAATGATCAATATACTTGGGTACTTCTTGGTACTAAATAATTGCTCCACTGTGTTTTATCCTCATCATTAAATAAGCATATAGACACATAAAGGCGCTCTGGTAGCATAGTGGTTACGAATTGGGCTGCGAACCTCAAGGTCAGCAGTTTGAAACTACTAGCTCTTCTGTGGGAGAAAGATGAGGCTTTCTGCTCCCATAAAGATTTACAGCCTTGGAAACCCTGTACAGGAACTCTATGAGTCAGAACCAACTTCACAGCACATAACCACCACCACCACCATAGATGCATATGTCCTAAAGGCAGCTTTCCTAAAGTTTAGTTTTTGATGGAGTATGTCAACTTTTCCACAATTTGTTAAGTGCTGTCAAGTAGGTTTAAATTCATAGCGACCCTGTATAGGGTTTCTGAGGAGTGGCTAGTGGGTTTGAATTGCTGACCTTGCAGTTAGCAATCCAGCGTTTATCATATACCACCACACCAGAACCTCCTTTCAACAGTTGTTACTGTGAAGTGTTTTTGAGTTGGTTCTTACTTACAGTGACCTTGTATAGGGTTTCTGAAGAGCAGCTGGTAAGCTTGAACCACCGACCTTGCTGTTCAAACGGACCTTGTAGTCTAGCGCATTAACCCACAGCACCACACCAGGACTCCATTCAACAACTAATAAGTAGCTTATAGAGTGGTTTCCTCTGGTTTTTAATATATAGATTTTTATCACTTCTGATTCTACAGTAGTGTTTAGATATAAAGGCTGTCTCTGGGAATTAGTCTGACAATCCTTTATGCTTCAACATCTTTGGAGAAGATCCCTCTTTTCCCTTCTACCCCATCTGCATTTTTTGTTAACCTCCCTCTTACTATATATTGCCTTTCCTTTGCACAAGTTATTATGTGTCTACCCTCTAGTCTTGGTGTGGTACTTTAGGATAAGCACAGGACTTCTAATTACAAGGTTGGTGGGTCAAACCCATTAATTGCTCCTTGGAAACCCTACAATGGGTTTCTGTGAGTCGAAGCTGCCTCAACGGCACACCACAACAGTTAAAACACCTTTTAGTTAGTAATTTACTCTCCCTTCCCTTGTACCCCTGGTAGCTATCAGAGCATGTTTCTTTTAGTGTAAAAACTTTTTTTTTTTTTTTTTTTACTTTTTATAATCGTGATCTCATACAATATTTGTCCTTTTTGTGATTGACTTATTTCATCTGTTAGGTGTTTCACAGATTCAGTTACTCTTCAATGTTGAGTAGTAGTCTAATGTGTATATAATATGTACCATAGTTTGTTATTCCATTCTTCTTTTGATGGACATTTAGATGTTTCCATCTTTTTGCCATTGTCAATAGTTCTGTGGTGAATATTGGGGGTGTGTATATCTGTGTCACAGCTCTTAATTTTTCTAGGTTATATACCAAATAATGAGATTGTTGGATCACAGGGTATTTCTACTTTTAAAGGAAGTGCTATATCATTTTTCACAGTGGGTGCACCATCTTACAGTCCTACCATCAGAAGATCACATAGTTAAACATTTTTGTTCTACCATTTCATTGCCATTGGAGCTCCTTGAGCTTTGGGCCAGGTGCTGTGAAACTCCTAGGGTTGTGAGTTCAGTCTGACCAGGTCAGGGTCTCGTGCTGGAAACCACTACACCCTTGGAGTATGAGGCTAGCACAGATAAGTGGTTTGCTTACTGATAGCTAGATTTCTTGTCTTTCTTGCACATCTACAGGATTGAATATGTGTGACTGAAGATGGGATTTAACTGTGTTTTATTCTAAAAACAATAGTGTCTCGCTCCAATTAAGAATAGTAAAAAGATTCAAGTATCAACTATAAATGAGATTAGGATTCTGTTCTCATTTCTCAATGTGAAAATTTATTCCCATATCAGCATTATTTTCTGTTTGGGATTCTTAAATACACAGAGAAAAAAGAAGATACACTAGGTCACTTAGAGAAGAAAAGGAAATGGAAAAAAAAAAAAAAAAAGTCTTCTATTAACAAAAGGAGAGGTATTCCTAAAGCCGTACAGATCCATTAGAACTAACAAAGATATGGGGAGAAAGACTCTGGTCATTTTTGTTTAGAAAATCACCTCAGTAATGCCAAGCCCTCCTTTAAGCCACATTAATCTTTTAAATTTTTCTTGAAAGTGTTACCTATTTCAAATTGATTGGGACCTCCATATGCTAAAGAAAAATGGGAATTGCAGTGAAAGTTTAAAATAGGTATAAAAAGTGACATAACATAGTCCTGGTGTGGCGCAGTGTATTAATACGCTGGATTGTAAAGTCACTTTGAACTGCAAGGTTGGTGGTTCAAGCTCATCAGCTGCTCCTAGGAAACCCTATACAGGGTCACTATGAGTCGGAACCAACTTCACAGCATTTAACAACAACAAAGTAATTGTATATTAGTTATGAGTTTGGATTTGAAATCTTTCATAGACCATGAGTTTAATATTGATGCCATTTTTAGGAAGTAAAGGGAGTCCTGGTATAATGCTGCAGGATAAGTGGACTGCTGACTATAAGGTTGGCAGTTCATGTCCACCAGCCGCTCTTCAGAAACCCTGTATAGTGTAGCTATGTGTTGGAATTGACTCAGCAGCACTTAATAAAAACAACAAAGGGAAATGTGAAAATCCTTCAGTCAAACTCGTGTGATTTTATCAGTCTGAAGAATGTGCTCCTTAGATGAATTTGTCTGTCATCCAGAGCACTTAGTGTTCTGCGTTAGCCAGGAGAACTTAGAACAGGTTGACCAAATTCCCATTTCAGCTTAATTATTTACATTTACAATTTCAGGTGACTAGAATTTATTCCCTGTGTTTCTGAAGTTATGTTTTATATTCAAGACCAACCATCAGTTGGGTCCTTAGTGTGGCACTGTAGGATAAGCACTGGACTGCAAGGTCGGTTTGAACCACAAGGTTAGCGGTTCACACTCACCAGCTGCTACTGGGAAACCTTAGGCAGGGTCCACTTCATGGCACTTGACAAGCAATAGCAACAGCCATCAGTTGGAATCTATGGGTGGTGCAGATGATTAATAGTGCTCAGCTCCTAACTGAAAAGCTAAAGTCGACCCAGACCTTCGTAGGCTAGTGATCTACTTCTGAAAAAGAGCCATTGAAACCCCTCCTAAGTACAGTTCCAATCTGACACACATGGGAGTTCCATAAATTGGAATCAACAGCAACTGGCAACAATCACTTAATTACACTTAAGGTAGTACTTCTCCAAAACTATTGTGAAGACCAAGCAAGTAACTGTTGGCCACACTATTTACTTGCTTTAGTGCACATGAAATGATGCGGTGTCAGTGGAAGGCTCATACTGCCTAAGAGAATCGAGAAGAAGCTGAGTTGTTGAATGTCTTTGTTGTAAAAGAACATTCAGCTAAGGTGTCACCTCTAGCCCTGCATGTTTG